CTCCAGTTATGGGGTGGTTCGCACATCGTGCCTGCGTGGCCGTGGGGACCTTCGACACGGGGTCGCTGCCCTCTCTGGTCTTACCTACAAGGAAGTCCCGACTCACGTGTGCTGCCCACAGCATCTCGCCAGCACCTTCCGGCACCTCCCCGACTCCCCGGCACCTCTGCAGCACCTCCTCCCCCAGCACCTCCCCGCCACCTCCGGCACCTCAGCACCTCTTCCAGCACCTCCCAGCACCTCCCAGCACCGCCCCACCCAGCACCACTCCACCCCCCCCCTCTCGGAACCTCCTCTGTTGGCGCATGGGCCAACAATCCGAGAACACTTGAACCATCCCATTGAGAGGGTTTTGTGCGCGAGCCACCCTATGGTTGAGAAGTGGTTGAGAAAACGAATGCTGATCTCTTAGCAGTTTGTTTGAGGCAATAGGCGAGCTCGTCCAGCACACAGTGCTCCCCCGCCCTGAAGTTGCGTTCAAGCGCTCATGGACGACAGCACACTGTCATTGCACTCTACAGAGGACACATTCCAAGCGGGTATGCTGGCCTTAAACGGCTGCCCTGCAGCATCGGAGGATGTGCGGAGCTGCAGCTTCCCCCAACACGATGCTCTGGTCGGGGAACCACAGTTTTCCGAGTGTGATCTTGGCGCCTGTGAAGTGGTCATCCTTATGCAGCAAAAAACTTCAAGCCTAGGGCCTACATCGCACATGCGTCAAGCAGCCATTCTATCTACAGCAGCTAATAATGGCTGTCAAAAAAATGAACGATGCAAGCACCGCAGAGCTGCTCCGCCTGCTTTTGGGTGTTGGGGAACTTCGAGAAGTCGAAGCCGTCCAACAGCTCCTCCGCCTGCGTATTCCAAACAGCGTTGCAACGCAAGCGTGTTTCAGGCCGGCGTGCACGACAACAAACATGAGACCGAAGCCAGGACAGCCACCACGGCAGCCAGCTCTTCATCTTTGGAGAGCTTCAATAGGCGCAGAAAGTCGTTGCAGTCATATTTCTTTGGCGCGTCCATAACCTGAGGGCATGCAACATGGCTTTGAGCACCTAGCTCAGCCCACACTCAGGCCGCAGCTACGGGTGCTCAAGCCACAACTGTAGTAGCCCACCCACCAACAGTGAATCATATTCAAAGAAACGCAGGCAAACACGCAAGAAAAGAACAGAAAGAAAAAGACAAAGAGAAGAAGAAAAAGAAAGATGAAGGTAGAGAGAGAGATAGAGACATAGAGCGAGAGAGAGAGGAAGAAAGAAGGAAAGGAAGAAAGACAAAGAGAGAGGCCACACAGAGAGACAGAGACAGACACAGAGCAAAAGACACGCAGACAGACAGACAGACAGACAGACAGACAGACAGACGGAGACAAGAGAGTCAAGGATGTACAAAATTACGAGCCTGGATGGCCCATATGACACTGTAGGACAAAGCAATATGATCGCAACAGAAGAAGACCCCACAACACATCGCGACACCTCAGACCCCGTCCCGAACGCTACAACAAGAACACCCATAGCGCACCCTCAAAGGTCATGTCCAGGAGCCTTGTGCGCAAGGGCTTGAAAAATCAGCGCCTTTTGCACGGACGTGTGTGTCTGGAGGCACAAGGCCAACATGGTTGCGCGATTGCTCATACTCGCCTCAATGAACTAGCTCGACCCATCACGCAGAACGCAAGGTCTGCAGCAGCGAATACTAGTTATGCGTAAACACAAGATCCCAAAACCAAACGACTGGGGCGAGCAGCGACGAGACCTCGCACTTCTTGCAGGGGCAAGTGGAGCGCGAAGTCGACGTAAGCCTCACCTCACTGGCCAAAGGACAATGACAATAAAAAGCAACTATAAATCCTGCGCTGACAGTCACGAAACCTGCCCTGACACAGATATGTGCAACAACCAGATCTCCACGCGTCTACACAGGCTGCAGTAGAACTGCACCTGACCGTAAGAAACAACTGAGCAGCTCGACCCCTGTCCATTCAGACGAGACTCCACGGCTTCGGCCTGGCGGCCATTCATTGACGACCCTGTTGATATTCGCCACTGCATCCGTCTCAGTCTCCTTGCTGCACATTCTTGACAGGCCAAATGTGACAGCAGTTAGTTAACTCGCAGCACCGCTGGGTCCTTCCAGCCAATCGTATCCACGACAGGCTGGGTGAGCTCAACGAAACGAAGGAGCTTGGAGTCGTCGCATATCTGGTCTTGGTCGCCGTCCAAGTCTCCTCGGCTGCAGGCAAGCAAATTCTTCAACAGATGTACGTCAAATTCAGAGGTGTGTGTATGTATATATATATATATGAACATATCTATGTATATATATATATGTACACATATAGATATACACACATATGCACATATTCACATAAATACATATATACATGTATACATTATACAGATACACATATACACAAATACACATATACATATGTGTATATGCATACACGCAGATACATATATATATATGTATATATTATATATATATATATATACATATACATGTATACATATATATATATATAAATACATGTCTCTATATATATATACATATACATAATATACATAATATACATATAAGCTCATACAGATAGATCGACGCACACACATACACATACACGCACATAGATTTACATTTATATCTATATTTATGTGTTATATATATATACATATACATATATAGACTCACATACACGCATACATATATACATATACATTCACAGGCGCTACACACACACACACAGGGAGGGAGAGGGAGGGAGAGAGAGGGAGGGGGAGGGAGAGGGAGTTCGTCTTCGTTTGCCAAATACTGGGGATACGCTTCCTGTATCTTCCAGCCCCCGGCAAGTTGGGATAAAGGGTCCGGTCCCTGGTGCTGAGTAGTGAGGGCAAGGTTTTCGAGTTGGGGGTAGGGTCCAGTCCCCATTGAGGATTGGGTCCCGTCCTCAAGTGCAAGTACAAGTACATGCCTGAGCGTCCTCAAACATCTCCCCTTTACTCACACAGCTTCGTTGGGCATAGTAGTCAGTAAAGGCAGTAAAGGCCATGCCCCCCGGCTTTTTTCGGAGTTTCACTCTTAGTAACAAAAGTCCGCACACATACACGCACGCACGCACGTGCACGCACACACGCACACACGCACGCACGCACGCACGCACGCACGCGAACGAACACACACACACACACATGCGGCGCGCGCGCGCGCGCGTGCACACACGCGCATACGCGCGCACACACGCACACACGCGCACACACACACAGAGACAGACAGACAGACCGACAGACCGACAGACCGACAGACAGACATTTTTTGACTTTGACGCTTTGCGTAGTCTGAGCTACAGTGATCATAGCCCGGCAATTGCGTGACTATGTCACAATGGGAATTAACATACATGTTGAGAAAAACAAATCAGGTGGAGGATTGATGTGAAAGTCAAACTTCCACTTCCTTGCCGAAGGTTGTATAAAGATTTGTTGAAGATGAGCGCGGGGATCCGGCTCGCACAAATGCTTGACACGATAAGCAACAGCTCCTGCGGGGCGGCTATACCCTAAAATGTACAAGCTACGACAGTTGGTCAGATACGCTCCTGGTAGCAGCTGCACTTGCAAATGTGTAGAGAACCATTTGATGGCAGCCTGGAATATTCGCAAGTCTTCTGCGAAGGTGTAGGCCTCGAAAGGCACATCCTGATCACAGTCTTGTCGCAACATATAAGAAGGTCGCTTCTTCTTGTTGGTAAA